ACTCTGGCTCCATTTAACTTTACACTGGAAAATTGTCACCCCTCTCTGTAACTGCTGCAGTGAGCCTCATCATTTTGGTCCTAAAATGTTTGTATTAACCTGGTCTACATGAGCCCAGTGTCTTTATTTAGCTATTTTGTCCATAAATAAATTCTTATTCCTCCAGTTTAACCGACTGTATGTTCTGATCACCCCACACTTTCTATCTCATTTTCATTACATTATCACAACTAATTTAAATCTGAGGGTATCCATTACTGTAAATGTCATCAGGAGTTTCAGATTTCGGAGAAAGGTTAGCAAGAACTTAATTTAGCCGAGCGTGACCGTTATCTAACACAAATGTTCACACAGACAGAAAACAGTTTTGTACTTTATTGGCCAGCTTGTTATCTCGACTGTAGCTTCTCTATGGAGCTAATGCTAATGAACAACCATGCTAAATTTCTGACTGGTGTGCACAGAGATGACCTTCATGTGAGAGATATAAAAAGAAGAGAAGAGAGCTGTTTTCGTGGAGGGCTCATTACTTGATGTTAGCTGTGATGCACGGAGGCACCTCTCTCTAATTTACTGCAGCAGTGTGACGGAGGGACAACGCCTCACAGGCTAAAATTAGAATTCATAATGAAGGCTTTGAGGGGCTATGGAGACACTGGTCTGTCACAGGACCGTCAAAAACATGGGTCGGGTCATATGTTACAAGTTACGTGAGGTCAGAGATGAGAAGTAAGTAAGTCATTAAGTAAATATGATAATGTTCTAATACCTACTGAGAACAAAGTTTACCTATAAATAAGCAAATGAGCAAAACTGACTCTTGTGAGCTTTAAACCATGTTAGAATGCTGTTACTTAATGAAAAACATACCTGAAGTTATGTTTTGTTTCATTCACACGTTTTTGTAATCCTCTGCCAGTCTGTCGACATCTCCAAAGCTCAAACTGCTCTGTTCCACCTTGTCATGTCATGGAGTGGCAATTTTCAAGTGAACAGCTACCTTTTATCTTCAGTGCAGTAGATACTGGCAATGCCAGAGTTGAAATTTTCCATATGATTCTGGTGAAAGTGTATGGAGTTTAAAAACACAGTGGCGCACTCTCAGAAAATAAAATAGGCAAAAATAAAAGCATAAATACAAGCAACCACAGTACTTTTTCTTTTCCTATAATCAGATTAGGATTTAGTAATCTAATGATATTTCAAAATATTTTATCTAGAAAAAATTATGTTTAGTCCATAGAACTGTGATCTAACAGTAAAAAAGATAAACAGGTCTTTTGGGGACAGACACCAAAACATCATCAAACATCATTGGTTTCTGGAGGACTGTGCGTATGGACTCAGGTGCTGTTTATATAAAATGAGGTTAAATAACAGGAATGTGAATTAGTGGGAAGAGTTCATGCTTTTTATAATTAGGTTTTTGAATGTATGTTTTCTTTCTTCTTTTTTTTTTCAAATCAGTTATCAAATTACTTTCATTAGATTACTTTTAGAGGGGGTAAGTGGCTGTCACTAATCCCATTAGTTTTACAAACTGACGTGAATTTAGCAGTATAGATTTCCATACTGCAGGGGCTGTCTCTTTATATAACCCTAATCTTCTCTACTGTGTGGCTACTGGGAGGCAGATGATTTTTTTATGTTGTTGAAAAAAGAAGAAAAAACTTTTTATAGTTCAAAATCCATCTGACTGAAAGTAAAGTTCCGTTTTTAAAGGTTCATTAACTAACCTTTCTGATGAAGGGACTGCTGCTCTCTTGTTTCCATGGAAATGTTATTGCTTTGCCATGATGTCATATGTCGCTGTATGGCATTAAACCTTTTTAAAACTATCTTTTATTTATTCAGTTACAGGTGTTTTTATTGCTTATGGAATATGTTAAAAACATGCATGCTTACTGTGAGCCTCTCTGTAGATATGACCTGTAGCTTAGGCTGGTAATGCCACCTGTTTTTGTCCAGAGATACAGCTGAATTTATTGTCACACTGCAAAGCAAAAACATCTCCATGTAAACAAGGTGACAGAACTTCCACCAGAAATATTACACAAAGCTTCTTTAATTATGATGTATCTACAGTATGTATGCAGGGTCCATATTACACCATTTTCTGATCTGTTATAATGTTGTCTTCTCATCAAAACCATACCCGAAGTTGTGTTTTGTTTCATTCACATATGTGGCGCACAAACCCTGCATATTTAAGCTGAATTCTTACTCCACCTTGTGATGTCATGGTAGTGCTCCATGGTGCTTTTAAACTTCATACAGCTTCACTAGAATTATTTGGATAATTTCAGCCCTCAAATTGCCAATCTCTACTGAACAAAGAGTTAAAGGTAGCTGTTAAACCACCACTTCATAACATCACAGAGTGCAACAGAGCTGTTTGAGCTTTAGAGATGCAGACAAACTAATAATAAAGAGTCACTCAGACATGTGTGAATGAAACAAAACACAACTCCAGCTATGTTTTTGATGAGGTAACACCATTATAACATGACTTAAAACTCACAAGAGTCAATTTTGCGTAATACGGGTCCTTTAAAACAATTTTCATAATGTTTTTCAGTTACGCCAAACTTAGGAGCCTAATCATTTACATAACCAAGACATTTTCACAGATTCTTGGCTAGACTCATTTTCAGCATAATAAACTCAGTCCCCAGCCCTTCTGTCAACAGCACAGCCATTACTACTGCCGACTTACACTGATTAATGCTACTGACTCAAATTATGTCATGCCCAAATATCTCTAAATATGAGCCTTGCCAGCTGCATCAGAGAGCGCGTCACTACCACCTGTCGAGGCATGGCAGAAGAATCTATCTAATAAAATAAACCAGGGAAAGTCTTTTGCGTAGTTACCAAATAGTACTAGTAATGTTAAATGTTAGCGATCCAGGAAAGAACACCAAATTGGCCCCAGCTATGTTTTGCTATTACCTCACCTAGCAACTGGTCTAGCTCTCCATTCATTCTCTGTTAGCAGGTTTCATAAGGTGTTACCTGAGGCCAGAACAGCTCGTGGTCTGTTATATTTGGATTAAAATGGAGCACTGGTCTAAAATGTCACATAGTTTTCCATTTGGATTCAGATCTGATGATTCAGTTAGTGGTAATTTAATTGTGCTATGACATATTTGTATGTAATGTCTATTTGTTGTCTATTGCGTAGTCTCGATGTCTGAAAACAAGTTTATACAATGCTGCTACCGCCCGTAATTGGTATATTTATGTATTTTGCCGTTTTATTAGTTTTACTTCATTTTGGGCATGGCCAATAGTTAAAAGCCCACAATGTCCTATAATCATTTACTTTTAGATCATGCGTTTGACCATTTTAGATTTTCCACAGTCCATAAAGTTCAAACATGCATGGGGAATTGGAGCAAAGAAAAAGCAGCAAAAACAAAACCAAGGGCACTTCTTTTGCATATTAAAGGCGTGCTCTGTAACTTTTCTGGTGGATGATCCAAGTCCATCTCCTGCTTATCTCCATGGAGATGTTATTGCTTTGTCTTGGATGTTTGACAGTATGGCACATAGACTGTATGTATATGGACATAGCTAATCTGTTATCCACTGTGTTCCAAATAGGAAGTGAGCATGGGCATGCTTCCAGTCCCATTGACTCTGGGTCCAATTCACTTTGTATAGAGAAAACGTCACCTCTCTCTGTAACTGCTGCAGTGAGCCTTGTCATTTGGTTGTAAAATGTTCATATTAACAAACTCTACATGACCCTATTTTTTTTATTTTGCTATTTTGTTTGTAAACCAATTCCTATTCCTAATATGGAACTCCACTCCAAATTCGCTCCTATAGCTGCCGGCCTCTGTGAGCTTCATTTGACTGGAGCTGAATGATGTCAGACTCTCTTAGTCCACTTCTTTATACAGTCTATGGTTTGGCATTAAACCTTTCTCCCTGGAGACAAGCAAGCAGTGCCACCTGGCCAAGTTACAGTCAGATCATCTTACTTTAAGCAACAAAAACATGACTGAATCAATGCCAGATAGGTAAGTTAATGCCATACAGTGAAACAAATCAGGCAAAGAAAAAAATATTTCCATTGAGACAAACATTTGGCAAACCCTGCACCTGAAAAGTTACATAGTGGTAAAGTACAGTACAGATTATGTATTCGTTAGTTTGTATTATATGACATTATTCTTATTGCATAGTAACTACAATTAAGTATAGGCCTAGCTATATTTGAAGTAGGCTGCCATAAAATCTGCTAAAATGGCCTAATTGTAATTATAGACCCTGGAAAGAAGTGGCCAAAGGGAGTGTGACGTCCCTCATAGCGTCTAGCTCCAGTCAAATGAAGCTCACAAGACTAGCAGTTACGGGGGAGGTTTGGAGTTGCAAAGTATGAGTTCAAATTACAAATAAGAATTGATTAATGGACAAAATGGCAAAATAAAAATGCCATGATCATGTAAAACAAACGCAGTGAATAAAACACAACAATGTTCAATACAAGGTGAACTGGAGTCAATATAGCTGGAAGCGCACCCAAGCTCACTTCCTATCTGGAATATATAGTGATTAACAGGTTATCTATATCTGTTTATATATACAATCTATTGTTATAATTAATTAATTCGCCAATTGCAGTCGTAATTACCATTTCAGATTTTATAATTGTGTAATAAGCCAAAACAGGACTCAAATGCATCACATTGCATAAGATAACATTTGTCTGTGATTTGCTCTTTATTAAAACGAATTGCAAAATTGAATTATATTTAATGAAAGAGACAGGACCGACGCAAAAGGCCTCTCAGGGACGCAGTTTGCCCGTGTGCAGCCAATAGCCCTGATTGTATTAGCGCAAAGTGGACTGGAGTCACCGGGCCCTCGCTGCCTGGACTTGACTCGTTTGAAGTGGCAGGAGACAGAGGGAAGAGAGGGAGGGAGGAATGCTTTTAGGGGGGCGGGATCTTGTGACTCAACGTAGTCAACTTCCTCCTGTAGTGGGACAAAGTAACCGGCAAACGGCATCACTCTTCTCCAAAGCGCTTTGACTTACGCGCGGAACAATCCACAACAAAGTTTTCTGGAGCCGCGACTTGATCCCTGCGTAAACCCGACGTGTGGTGCACCGGAGACGCGCAACCGGTCCCTGGCAACTTCACCTACACCGCTATCTTGGTAGGACCTTTTTCACGTTCTTTGTCGTGTTTTTACGCACAGCTGTTGTCCAAAAAGTTATTTAACACTTGTCGTAACACGAAGTAGAAGAGGTTGTCTCTGAGTGAGGCTAATGTTGGCGTGGTAAAGTTTTGTAAGATTGAATGACACACAGATGGGGCTTTTGAATGGAGAATGCCATGACAGAAGTTTATACAACTGCAGTAGTGAAAGTTTGGTTGGTTCGTAAGATAAATGAACAAGTTTTGTTAAAACGGTGCCAAATGGGTAAAATATTGATCCAAAGCTCAAAGAAATTATGGTTTGGCTTTTAGTGTGTGTTATAGTTTTTCTGTACCATTTTCAAGACTCATATATTGGCTACACTTAAATGCATGCAGTTTTTCTCATTGTGAAGTTGGGTAGAGCATTATCCATTATCATTGTTTTTTATTTTGACACTTTAAGTATTTTATGCATGCAACGTTTGTATCTTTCTTATTATAATTTAACATTGCATATCTATGTTTTCTTGACTCTTGGCAAACTGTAGCCATGTGCTATACAGTTTTGCTGGATTCCCCTTGGCCATGTGAGCTGGACTGGATTGGCTGGGAGTTCCATCCTCTTTACTGTCCCCCTATGTAAACAAAGACTGAAATAGTGACATAGAAACAGATGGTATAATTGTTAACTGATACTTTTATACTGCATTGTTATAAAGGGATGATTAAAGGGCTCATATAACTCTATTTTCTGATCTATGACATAATGTTGTTTCCTTATCAAATACATACCGGGAGTTGTGTTTTGTTTCATTCACACACAATCAAACTCCATACACTTTCACAAGAATCATTTGGATAATTTCACCCCTGGAATAGCCAATCTCTACTGAACAAATGGTTAAAAGTAGCTGTCAACTTAAAGTCTCAGCTAAATAATGACTCAAGCATCTGTGACAGTTTTGGCTCAGATGCAAAAATGATTGTAGTAGATAAAGGCAGGTGTGGGCATGACAATGTAACTGTAGTCTTAATATTTAACAACTTTCAAAAGCATAAAAGTAGGGTGTGGAATAAAATGCTTATCAAAGGTCCTATATTTCACAAAATGTACTCTTGTGAGGTTTTAGTCATGTTAGAATGTTGTTACTGTCTCCAAAACATACCTTTGTTTCATTCACACATTTGTTTGAGTAACCCTTTATTATCAGTCTATCTACATCTCCAAAGCTCAAAAATGCTCTGTTCTACCTTGTGATGTCATGTAGTGGTAGTTTTCAAGTTAACAACTACCTTTTAGCTTTTGTTTAGTAGAGATTGGCAATTCCAGGACTGAAGTCATCCAAATGATTCTAATTAATGGGTATGGAGTTTTAAAGCACAGTTGAGCCCTAACTGTAGTACCACATGGCTTCACAAGGTGGAACAGAGAGTTTTCAGTTTCAGAGAGGAAATCAGCTTAAATATGCAGGGTTTCTGTGCTAAACATTTGTGGATGAAACAAAACACAACTCCAGGTATGTTTGTGATAAGGAAACAACATTATGACATAGAGGAGAAAATAGTGCAATACGAACCCTTTAAGTAAATGTGGATGACTTCATATGAGGATCTGGCTCTACAGGCCTGTACCACTTCCTCCTCTTTTCTGTGAAAGTGCACTGACACTGTGTGGTAATCAATACATGCCTAAAGGTGCAAAGATGTGCGACCCTGTCAATGCAGAAGAGGAAGTGTATTAAGAAAGCAGTGAAACCGAGTTGCTTAAGTCTTGGTATGTGGGTGTCAACTTTAGCATGTGTTTACACTTTGGTTTGACCCCAGTTTGGTTAAGATTTAGGCTTGGCTTGGGCCTCTTTCAGTCCTTGTTTAGTCCTGGTCTAGTCTTGTTTTAGCCCAGGTCCAGTACTTGTTGGGATGTGGTGTATGTGGAAGTGTGAATGCAAACAAATGATGTGGTCTGAAAGTGGCCAAGCATGGTTCATAGCTATTTGCACAAACTAACTTATGTAAACACATTAAACATGAGTGTCTTAGTTAATGTTGTTGTGTCTTTGGGCAGTGCCTGGTGCATGACTGTGTAAATAGTTGTGGTTAGTAAAGAGCCTTATATAGAATGACCCAGGACAAGGTTAGAGTTTAAAAGTGCACTGTGTAATTTTTTCTAGTGGAGGGTCTGCCACCTGCTTGTCTCCATGGAGATACTACTGTTTTGCCTTGATTGTCCCATAATATGGAAATAAACTTGTTAAGCACACTGAAGTAAGGTTAATGGTCAGATCTATGCAGAAGCAAGCCTGCACACGGTAAGAATTTGTGTTATTTAAGGTATTTCTGAGCTATAAAACTCCTGTAATTGAACAAATGCAAGGGAGACATGTTTAAAGCCCAACTGTGTAACATTCAAGGCAAAGAAACAACATCTCCAAGGAGACAAGGAAGTAGGGAACCCCCTACCTTTAAAAGTTACATAGTGTACGTTTAAGGATTAAGGTTATTTCACAGTATGGCATTAAATGTATCTACCTGGCCAAGTTACAGGTCAGATCTGTGAAAAGGCGATGACATTCACAGTAAGAATACATGTCCTTCGAGGTAATTCTGAACATCAAAACACCAAGGCAAGTTTAATGCCATACTGTGGAACATTCCAGTCAAAGCAATCCATGTAAACAAGTGGGTGGTGCACCCTCTATCAGAAAAGTTACATTGTGCATCTTTAACATAAGTTGTGCCATGGACTCAAGCAACTCCATTGTCTTACAGATAACAAAGCAGGGTCTAAATTCATGTATTAATTCACAATAATAGCCTATGTATCCATATTAGGCTATTTTCTGATCTATGTTATAATGTTGTTTCCTCATCAAAAACATACCTGGAGTTGTGTTTTGTTTCATTCACACATGTTTAATACACAACTTTTGCGTATTTAGGCTGAGCTCTTCTCTGAAACAGAAAACGGGGTTAGTCAAACATGTGTGAATGAAACAAAACACAACTCCAGGTATGTGGCAACAGATGGGGCAACAATGTTTTAACACAATTAAAAGCTCACAAGAGTTTAACTTTTTCATTGTACATTCACCGCCATTAAAACTTCTTTAGCTCTTTTACTAAGTGTAACCCAGTGTGGTAAATAAAAGAAGAAAGAATCAGAGTCCCACAGGCTAAACTATCTCTGTCCTACCCCAGCAGCAGGAAGTGAGCAGAAGGGTGTGGAGGGTGTGGAGGGCCCCGCTGAGGTTCCCACTGTTTTTACATCATCATAAAACACTCATGACATAGATGCACTCTACCTGGTGCGTCATCCAGCCTCAGCTGATACACAGGCGTCCCTGTAAATGCTTGTGTTACAGGAAATCAATAAGAGCTTTGGCAACATCTCCACAAGATCCAAAGAGGCAAGGGGTAATCATGTAATCTGTGTTTTTCCCATTTGGTTTAAGTAAGTTTCTGTTTTTGTTTAGTTTTGTTGTACATGATTGGTTAAAAGCATGTACCCGAAAACCATGAGTCAAGAATGTTTCAATTCAAACTTTTAGCCCCACCCACTGAGTCCGTCTCTTGCTGTGATATTGCCCAATGACACAGAAACAACTGTCTGGGATCGTGTCATGCAATTGTGTCCTAAAAGTTCACCAGTCTAAGTTTAGTTTTTAGTTTTTTTCTTAGATTCTCAGATTTTACCATACAACACAAAATGTAAAAAACATTTATCATAACATGGATAAGATCAGATACATGCCTGTTAATAGTTTTTTGTTTGTTTGTTTGTTTCTTGGTGATCTGAACTATAAATAATGTATTCTTCTTTCAAGCCTTGGTCATAATTTTCATGTTAACACCATCATGCTGCTATTTTCTGCTCTGTGTTATAATGTTGTTTGTCATCCTAGAGTTTTGTTTCATTCACACATGTTTAACACATGAACACTGCATATTTAGGCTCAGTGTTTCTCTCAAACAGAAAACACCTTGTGATGTCATGTGGTGATACATGATGTGTTTATAAACTAGAAATGCTGATTTCTACAACAAAATATAAAAGGTAGTTAAGTTTCTGAGTGTACTTAGCCTTAACCTGAGAGTTCATACTTCACGGTGATTGGTTAAATCCAGCTGTCACTCAGAGCATGACAGAAGATCAACCAATAGGACGAATGGGAGGGGAAAAGTCTCTGTGTTTGAGTGCAGATCTACATTATACAGAAAAGCACTGAATCTTATGGTTTGCCATAGCAGGCCAACCTATGTACTTGATCTTACTATATAATTTTCTTACAGCTTCTTAGACTTTGACTGTAGTTTCACCATTCCAATTAACTGCCCCATGCATTTCCTGCTTGCTCAAATTTAGGTCTAGAGGGCAAGCTTCCCCCTCCTTAGGCTGTTTCACAAATCCAGACGTATTTGCTTGTATACCACAATGTATTTTGAGGCACTACCTATCCAAATATTATGTCTGTGTGGCCAATTTATTTTTTACTATATAAATAATGTAACTTCTGTCAGATTTTCTCATACACGTCTGATTTCCAGGACCTCCAGTCGCTTCCTATAGATTACACCTTCAAGAGGAATGCAGCCAGTAAAGCATCCCACTGTGCATCCTCCATTAAGCAGCTATTTTTACACTCACTGTTTGTCATAGTAACTGTCCGAAATGCCCCAGACGCCCGTCATTCTGTCCTATTTAGCATGTGGGGCACAGACACAACCACTGTCTGTATAATGTTTTTCTGTTACCTCTTTCCTCTTCCTCTCTACTGTCTCTCTGTCCACATTCTTTGGAGGACTCAGTGTTTTTGCAAAGGTTAGTCCCGCGTGGAGTCTGGATCTGGGCCAGACCCAGACTTGCATTGGGAATCACACTAAAGGAATCGGACTGCTTGTGGCTGGAGTTCGCGGTTGGGCATAATTTGAAATCGAGCCAAGAATAGCGATGAAGAAATGGTGGTCAAGTGTTTGCAGGTGCTTAGGGAGCTGGATTCAAATAAGGATCTTGGATTTTTG